TTATCGAACTGTATCTGGTTCCTGTATCTCTTCAGGCCTTTGTAAAGTGATGGCAGAACACAGGTAGGAAAACAGCCTTCTCCTCTTTTGCATGGTGTTCTCAGTTATACTTTACATAGGTTTCAGAATTAGGTAGTTTAAAAGAAAATGTACATCCCATGGTGCCATTCCATATCATCAATAGCTGTGATGGCGAACCTATGGCACATGTGCCACAGGTGGCACGCAGAGCCATTTGTGCCTGCACGCGAGCTGCAGGCAAACTCACATCACTGCGCACGCGCCTCACAGCTGATTTTCGGCTAGTTTGAGGCCTTTTTCGGCCTCTGCAGGCTTTTCAATTAGGCCCGTTTTGTCACTTCCTGTTTTTCCGGAGATACCGGAAGTGACAAAATGGGCCTAGTTGAAAAGCCTGCAGAAGCCTTCCTGCAGCCTCTGGGAGGCCAAAAAACCTCAAACCGGCCGAAAATCAGCTGTGAGGCACAGTGCAGGTGAGGGGATGGGAATTGCATGTGCATGCGTAGGGGGCGTGGGAAGGCCGCATTGCCTTCTGCGTGCTGGCACATGAGTGACAGCATCCAAATGCGCGCACAATTTTTGGCACAGGAGCCCAAAAAGCTTGGCCACCACTGATCTATAGGATTTGGTCAAAATGTTCTAAATTTGTAACAAGAAAACTTAACTTAACTTTTGTTATGTTGATGATAGCCTTTAACTGTTTTGTTTTTAACTTGACTATTTTGAAAGCACCTGGTGGCAGTTTCTTGTTTCAAATAAAGGTTTGTTAGCCTGTATGATTAGATTTTGAAATATCCTCATTTCAGTACTGTATTTTCTGAAAATAACAGATTAAAAATAGTACATGCTAGGTCTTTTTTTATATCAAAGGTCAGAATTCTTTAATGAAGATGGGTCTCTAAAAGAGGTTCATAAGATTAACGAAATGTATTCTTCTTTGCAGACAGAATTAAAGGTAAGTTATGAATACCTATTTTGTGACTTTTAAGTAGCAGGGGAAAATTTGAAACACAATCGTTAATTAATCTCAAACAAATATTCAAGAAAATATTACTTATTAGGATATCATAGATAAGGAAAAATCCAAATACATGTATTATAAGTTTTGCCAGGTTCAACTCATCATTGACTTACAACCAGTTGCTTAGCAGCCATTCAAAGTTACAATGGATCCCCTTTAACATGTACTCAAGACTCAGTGGCCACTCCCCACACAGTCACCTGACTACAGTGGGCGCTTGGCAAGCAGCCTGCATTTACTTCCATTTGCAATGTCCTGCAGTCACATGACCTTAAGTTATGATATTTTTTGCTGAAAAATGGTATTTATTTCTGGTCTCCAGCAAAACCACCCACAGCAAAACAATGCGCTTGCTTAATGACCACCACAAAAAAGGTCATTAAAAATGAGCAGGTCATGTGATGACTGTTTTACAACTGTCGTGACTTATGACCATAACTGGCAAGCTCCCTTACAATCATAAATCAAGAACTACCTACTGTATATGACATTGTTTTGAAAATACAGTCATTGTGCAAAAACACGCCCATAATTTAAACAAATTGTGGTAGTTATGCAGCCTCCAGGCTAAAAAGATTGCACATTCCTATGAAGGATATAGGAATTAGGGTAATGTAGAATTAGAAAGCTACGCTTAAACATGTTTTGATTGCTGATTTTAAAAAACCTTGCATTCCATAGAGGTTCTTTTTCTCTTGTTCTAGAATCTGTGCAATAAAGTAGCGGATAGTGAAAAATCAGTAGAGAATCTATTATCACAAATAGATCAGCTGAGACAAGAAGTAAGAAGCAAAAAAGAACAAGAGAAAACTACAGGTAAGGTAGCTTATTGTGCCTAAAAAAGCTGAAGTCCTTCAGGCCTTTAAAACATACTACCGTGTTTCTCCAACAATACACCTCCCCCCAATAGGAAGTCCCAGCATGTTTTCTAAGCATAAAATGAAATGAAGCCCCGCCCCCAAATTTAGGCCTATTTTAAAACATACAAAATGGGGAAGGGCGGGGGGGACTTGCCGTTAGAAGCGCCCCGCGGGCAACCACGCCTCGCCATCAGCCGCTCCTAATGGCCGATCATGGTGGAATGCGGAGGGCTTCCTACCCCCACCAAGCGCTTTTGCTGCAGACCCAGGTCAGCGGGCGGGCGGCGGTCGCATGGATGTCTGCTGGCAGCCTCCGTAGCTACCACAGTTCCTGCCGGCGCTGGCGCCTGTCTTGCCAGCGCCATCTCCCAACAACAGCGTCTGAATCGCTGCCGCTTTTCCCCCATCCTCGCCCCCACAACAACAGGGGGGAAAAAAACATTTTTAGGTAACTGGGAACGCCGCGCGGTGCATTTTCGTTTAATCCCGAGTTGGGCGTGAGAAGAGCTGAGCGTCTCTGCCGCTGCTACCCTTGGTGCTCCAGCCTCGGGCTCTGCAAGTTTCCAAAAGTCCTGGTGCGCAGCCCGTTCCTGCATTCCAAGCGTGCCCAGGCCGAGCTGCAGCTGGCCCTCTTGCCAGCGCCATCTCCAACAATAGCGGCAGCAGCGGCAGAGGGTAGCAGCGGCAGAGATGCTCACTCGGCTCTTCTCATGCCCAACCAGCCGCTCGGGATTAAACAAAAATGCACTGTGCGGTGCTCCTAGGTACCTAAAAATGTTTTTTTTTCCCCTGTTGTTGCAGGGACGGGGATGGGAAAAGCAGGAGCGACTCAAAGACACTGTTGGAGATGGCGCTGGCGAGAGAGGTGCCAGCAGGAACCATGGAAGCTACGGAGGCCCAAGAAGCAGCTGAAACACTGCCAATGGACATCCACGCCAACACTGCCCGCCCACTGACCTGGATCTGCAGCAACGGTGCTTGGCGGGGGTAGGGAGCCCTCTGCGCTCCGCCATGATTGGCCGTTAGGAGTGGTTGGTGGTGAGGCGTGGCTGCCCGCAGGGCGCTCTAGGTGAGGGTGCGCAGGGGGGAGAGAAATTAATTCACCCCCGAAAAGATGTCCTAACCGTTTTTCGGGGCTCAAAAAAAATAAGACCCGGCCTTATTATATGAGAAACACAATATAAGTTTACTGTATAGAGAATTTTCTTAATTCGTCGTTATTTTTTAATGGTTTTGCTATAAAAGACCTGCATGGTTATCTCCCTTATTTTTCCTCAACAAAACGTGGACAAGCTGTAATTTTAAAAATTGTTATTTGATATTAAATAAGGCACTTCCAAAGATTGTTTGTGAAAAGAACCATTTTAATAAGCTCTGGTTCATAAGTTGAGATTTCCAGTGGCTTTTATTTTTATAAATCCAATAAAGGATTTTACAAATGATACATGGGTTTCTATGTGCATACAAACAATATGTGTGTATATATCACAAACAATGTAAGAAGTCAAGGGGTAGCCAGGTATATTGTACGTTCTGTAATATATAGCCAGGCAGAAAAATAATACAAGATTTCATTCTTTAGCTACTTATTACATGTAATCAGAAAAGTGATTTAAAATAAAATCTTGATTTGTTAAGGAAAGTAGAAAAATAATTTAAAATGTTGAAATTGGTTTGGCAATTTCTACAGCATTTTAAAATTGTCGTCAATTGTTGAACAAACTTAAGTTCAAATTACAATTCCTGTCTTGCCAACTAACGAGGAAACTACAATATTCCAAGTCAGTTGGAAAAAGTCAAGGAGATCTACATCCTCACTAAATAAAAATAGCTTTATCTGAAATCCCGTTCCTTCATACAATATAACCTATGTTCTTATTTGGGCATTAATATACATTGTTTATAAGGGGGGAAATTGCTGCTTTTCAGTTGATATATTCAGCCTTTTTTGGTCTTTCCATCTAATGAAAATATCCTCTCGTTTGACTTTTTTCTCCCCGCTTTCTCTTTTCCTTTTAGGAAAGGATAGAAATCACTCAGATGATCCGAAAGAGAATATTTTTCTCTGTCAAGCTTTGCAGCACTTTTTCCCAAATTCTGGGCTGCAGACAAACACAGTTACATTTAAAGGAAGGCAGATTTCTAAGCAGGGATGCACTGCTGATCACAATATCCAAATCATGGACCAATTAACTTTAATGATCAAAGAAAATAATTTCCCTGAAACGGAAACTAGGCAAGCATCAAAGCGAAAAGCCATTGTGAACGCAAGTGGGCCAAAGGCATGCAAAAGACTGCGCTCTTTCCACCTTAATCAAAAACTATTTCAAGAAGACCAGGAAAACAGTGACCAAGAATTAAATGTTAAGAGTAACAACAACGCAACTGAAGATGTGACACCTTGATGGGCACATACTATCTTCCAACTCTTTAATCCCTTCCAGTGGCAAAGGGTTTTATTTCTTATTCTCACCTCATCAATGCTGCTGCTTTCATTAATACATGGAATACTTGAGTCAACATTTTGGAAATAAAACCTCACCCTTTTAAATCATCGTTCTTACAACATGGATCAAGTTTCAAGTTGCTTTTTCCTCACTAAATCTTAAAATTGCTTACTCTCTTGGAGGGTATAGCAGGAAACAGCAAAGACCGAGAACCTATCTGTTGTTTGTAGTAAAAACTTTATTAAGAATGCAATGTTATTTTATTTAAATAGCAAAGCTGGTTTTGAAGTGAAGCGTTGATCCCAGAATCAAACACTTTAGGGAAAAAGACCAATCTATGAATTCCATTTAGTTTTCGCTTTACACTGTGTTTGAATACTTCGAATTTCTACAACCTTATTACGTATTTCAGCTAAAATATGTAAGTAAAATTTGGGTTAGGGAATGAGCCCAAGAGATGCTAATTCAAAGTAGGGATACAGTATTGGTAGGTTAAAAGGTTTACTTTCTATGCTGTATCAGAAGCAACTGCATTCTGATAAGTTCAAAAGACCCCATACAGGTTGAAGCACTACAAAGAGACATTCTCTCCTGACAATGCTACAGTTTATGATCAATTTGTCATCAGAATGAATGAAATAATACTCTCATCATGGACACATTGATAGCTCATTTATTAACATTCTAAAAATATAGTCTAATTACAAAAATGGGCTAGGCATAATTGATACAATTTATTCTGGATATTTAATATTACATATTTTGGGGTCATTGCGAAACACTGGGTCCTTATGCATAACCGACATAAATCCTGTAAAAGAATAATTAGGTTTTAAAAACAAAATGTTTTTATAAATCATCCAAAGGTATGACTATTTTATAATACTTACCCATGCAATGAGCTCTTTTAATGGCTTTTGCCATTTCATTTTGTTTCTTTTTACATAAGCCTAAGAAGCAAACAAATAATCATTCAAAAAATAATTTCAAAAATATTGCTTAATTTCATTACAGACTTAAAAAGTATTTTAAGTAAATGTTTTACTTTCTTATTTTAGAAAGCATATACTTTGGCCGGTATAACTCAGAATGAGTATCAATAATTTAACATTCTTATGTTAAAAGTACTGAATGATATTTCATGATTTGGTTTCGATATGAGTAGTTATAATTCTGCTAAAACTGTTTTTTTTTTTGTACATACCTGTTATATGATGACCAAATATGTGACCAGTGTATGGCGAAATAAACTGTGATAAAAGCTGTTGGAGAAAATTAGTTGGTTCAGTCTTCAAAGCAGTAAGAAAATTAAATAAAATTAATACTTTTGGTAGCAAATATTTGCAATTGGATAATATTTCCTAGTTGTTTAAACAAAATGACTGCATTGGTGTAAACTCATATTTTATTTGAAAATCTAAAACCATAACTTTTAGTTGTTTTAACTATTTAGTCATGTCTGACTCTCGACAGCTTCATAAGCAAGTCTTATCCATGCTACCCTGTCCAGCACAAATTCTTTCAGTTGTTGGATGTTCCTCTTTGTATCAGTTTTAATGTTATCAATATTAGGAGTCAAATTGTTGGGGGCAATATGCTAACTCTGTAAACCACTTAGAGAGGGCTGTAAAGCACTGTAAAGCAGTATACAAGTCTAAGTGCTATTGCTATCAAGCCAGTGTGTTCTTTGCTTGCCCCTTCTTGTTCCACTAACCATTCCTAGCATCATTTCCTTCTCCAATGAAATTTCCATGCATGGCATGGCCAAAGTAAATCAGATGTAGTCTTACGATTTTAGCTTCTAGTCATGCATCTGATTTTATACTGCTCTGTTAGTTCCTATGGCTGCCCATGGTATACACAATAACTTTTTACCTGCGTAATTAAAATATGCAGTTTGATTTGGAACATTGGGGTCGATTATAGCATAGAGGTTTGTTGTGGGTAAAATGCACCCTATCAAACTAGATACACAAGTGGCAGCAGAGTCATATTCCATTGTTTTAACCATAGTTTTCTGATTTAGCAAAAATTGTCAAGCTAATTCTTAATAGTAAGAAAGTGGGTACACATTGGTATAAGCCTTAAGAGTCACTACATGTAGCCAGCAAGAAATACACACACATATATATATAAGAAAACAATAATTGAGCTATGGCAGTTATTAAGTGGGTTGCCACATAGCTGCACTCCAAACTATGTCCTTTTTTGCAGCAGTCATTAGGTGAATGCTCTGGTTGTTAAGTACACTCTTTTTCACCAGTGGGCAATTTTTGCCGGAAACTAGAAGTAAATGCTGGAAGCTGGCAAAAACTATATAAAACTGCAGTCATGTGACTAGGGTGTGTGTGCACGTGAGCTTGTGCAGCTGTTAGAACTTTAAAAAAAAAAACAGGTTATAACTGGAGCGATCTGTCTTAACTTTTTTTAACAAAGTTATACACACACACACACACACACACACACACATAATTTCAATTGAACCGTGCGTTGCCTGGATACATGTTATTTTAGAAAATAATGATCAAAATATTTACAGCAATAGTCATTACATTGATATTAATTCTATAGTAATAATGTTTAATCTGAAATGTTTACCAGGCAATTGGTTGTTTAGCAAGGTCTGCCTGCATTTGTTATGCTACAATACATGGTTTGTCTACCATTTTTCATTTGTACCCAGATTTAAATAGGTTTTTTTAATTATTTAAATTTATTATACCCATCCCAGCACATCCTGCACTGCTTACAAAATATAATACTAAATTAAAATAATTAAAAACAGACAAAAGAACACATGATAACCCCTAAGTAAAAAAATGAATAAAAGAAAACATGAAGAATATCCAGAAGCTTCAGCTGGTGCAGAACACAGCTGCATGGACATATATTTGGACGGTGGGGGCTGTTGCTACAATGGCCCATGTTACACCATTGTTTTGCGAGCTGCACAGGTTGCCAATATGCTGCTGGGTACAATTCAAGATGCTGGTTGCCGCCTTTAAAGCTCCTCGTGGTATGGATCCAAGTTACCTGAGAAACCAACTCATACCGATGAGGTTAGCCCGTCCCACCCACACCAGCAAAAGAGGTATGTTAGGGACCCCATCAGCCAGGTCATTTCAGCTGGCAGGTTCCAGAAGACAGAAAGTGACTGGCCCAAAGTCACCCAGCCAGCTTTCATTCTTGAGGTCTAGAACTCCCAGTCTCCTGGTATCTAGGTCAACACAATCTTGAAACAATTTTACCTGTTTCCTATAACACACAGCATCAAACACAAAGTTATTAATTTACCTGTATATTCTTGTAGTCAACAGTTACACCACATAAGACACACTTTTTAGGAGGCTCCTTATAGGGGTTTTCCATTGAAACAGGCTGAAATGACAGAAAATTTAGTATATTTTTTTTCAGCTGTTCTGAAGTCCTTCAGCATCTTTTTGCACAAACTGTGCCAGCCCCACTAGATGGACCAGACCAGGAAATCAATCCCACAAGAGGGATAAAACTACTTTCATTTAGACTGGCTATAATGCCACAATATTGAGGTTGCAAACTGGTGTAACTATAATGTCCTATATGTCCTTTTTCAATGTACTTATCTGCAATAACCTTTTAAATTTAGGACCAACTTTTCACAATTTTATTGGAAGAAATCAGAAACATATCCCCATTCTATTTGTAGATATTTTATACTGGTCCCTATGAGTTATGGAAAGTGCAACCAGATTTTTTAAAATTAATAACATATTACAAGCACTTTACTGTATTAACTATATTCTGACATTCTGTCTCAAATATTTAACAATACATGGAGTTTAAGTATGTTATAGTAATATCTTACCATATCTGCTTGATTGGATTCCTGTTCATTATTTGAACTACTCTCTCGTCTCCATGATCTACCTGAAAAGAAATACAAAAGTAGAAACCTGTTAAACAATATGAATCAGCCAAATAACTGAACAGAAATGCCTACCTTTCTGAAGACCTCTTTCCTTTATGACCTGCAAAAATACAATCTTGTCATCAATACTAAAAAATTGAGATGGACACATGAATGATGTATTTGAAACTAGCAAAAATGCTGAGAGTTCAGGCTTGCATTTAATCATATGGATAACTCCATAAACAAAAAGTAATCCCATGCAAACTAGTGGAAGAATAGCCTGCAAATAAGTAAGAAGCTTATCAGAGAAGGTTTGGCTTGCTCTGCTCCCAGCCATATTGAGAGAAATTCCCCCCAGAAGCATTATTAAAAAGATACAGACTGATGGAGGAAGAATTGATAGCTGTCTTCACTACAGATACCAGGCTCATAGTGTGTGATCTAATTCTCTTCAGTAAAGCTGATAGTCAGAAGGCAACTTTTAAAAACTAGCCAAAATTTTTACAAAGCTTATGTTTCAAGACTAGGCATAGAGAAGTTTGTGTCTGTTCCTCCAGAAATAGCAACAGAAATGGTTTACTTCATATTAGGCTTCCAGAAAAATTACTAACAGCTTTTATGGACAAATTAATGACTGTGTTATAGTAGCCATTTACTGTAAAAATGCATAACCCAAACAATATAGTTGAAAAATAATAGTATGTGAAATAAGAACAGTCCTTCTTGATCAATCCAATGTATGCCATGTAAAAAAAAAGCTGTGGAGGACAGAGAAAAGAATATAATATAAACTGCATAGTAGACCATATTTACAAACCCTATTAACAATAAAAGCTATTTTATTATTCTATTACAAGATATGCCTCCTGAAAAAGCTCATAACATCCAAACTAGATAATTGTAACAGGTGTCATTTTGATGAAGTAATTCCCAAAATTCACATTTGGCTCTTTTTTATTTACAGTATCTGTAATTATTTATTATTTCATTTTTTTAAACTGCCCAATAGCCTAAGGAATCTAGGCAGTCTGCAATAAAAAGATACACTTTAACTACATATACATTAAAATTAAATGCAATGCAAAATGAAAATGACAGTTGCCAAGATGGTCATTCAAAATAATAATAAGGCCAATTAAAAAGCCTGAAAAAATAGAAAAGTAGTGCTGAAATCATGCTTTAAAGCCAGAAATATTCATGTTAGGTATAATACCAGAAAGCTATGATACATAATATGTATTGGCAGCAGCGAGAATTGTATTTGCACAACATTGGGAAAATGAAAACACCCATCAGACAAAAACATAATTCGGAAAATATTGGACTGTGCAGAGATGGATAGATTGGCATTTAAATAAATGATAAAAGAGATACAGAGTACTACTCAACATAGGTTTTATCAATGGTTAGATATAAGAGATATAAGAGATAGATGGTTAGATGAAGAAAGATTGTTATGTGCATGTAAAAGATGAACTAAGACTATAAGCATGCTAGTATAATTAACGTGACCATAAATAAGCTAATATAACTATAAATATTTCTATAACTACTATGGATATTATCACTATCAGTATATGTATTTTGGCAAATTGAAATGCCTGGACAATACACTGTTTTCGAAATATTTATATATATAAATAAAAAATACAAAAAGAAGAAAGGATGAGCGAGTGAAACATCTCTTTGCTCAAATGCCTGAATTCTTTCGTTATCCTATCCTATCTTACATTAATTACATGGAAAAGATTATCGTTATCTTCCTCGCAGGTTCCGCAGGGCTGTTCTTCGCTTACCCGGGCCAGGCGCACAGTTTCCGTTTCTTACAGCGGCGAAGAGATAATAAAATCTCCCCGAAATCTTGGGAGAAGAAACCAGACTAAGCACAGAAGCCATCTTTTTTTTTTCCCCTTTGCAAGCTTCCGGGTACGAGAGTAACGTCCAATCAAGTCCCCCTCACAACACGTCCGGCTTGAGGAAAGAAAAGCCTTAACCGCGGCTTGCTACAAAGGCCAATAGGATTTGCTTGCGGTTAGCCAATCCTTTCAAAGAAGTTCAACCAATCCGGCGGTCTTTCGTCATAACAGCACGGGATTCATCCCAGTTCTCTGTACTGTTTTTTGTTCGAACCCAAATCCATCAGACCTTTGCCGACATGGCCGCCCAATACGAGGAATGCCGGGAGTTGTAGTTCACTTATCGGAAGCTCATCGGAACCTTCAATAGGGGCGTGAGGGCGGTTAGTGCCTTTTCGGGGTCCCGGGTTAATGAAAACCCTCCACCCTTTTTCTAGTAGATGGTACAGTCCTCGCTCAGAGGCGGACGGTTCCTTTCCCGAAAAAAGGGGGGAAATAAGAGAAAATGGAGTTGCTGCCTCTCGTAAGAAGCGGCTCAATTCTGAACCTGCCCGCCTGGGGCAGTACCGGCTGACCCGGGAGGGTTGAGCCCGGCGGCGAGGGCTATACCGCTTTTCCATGGAGGGCGGTGGGGCTGTCAGGAGAAGGACACAGGAGCGAAGGAGGCGGCGGCGACAGCGACCGGGCTCAGGGGCGGATTCACCCGGCATAAATTGCAGAGGCAGGTCCCGGTCGACTTCCCCGCCGACCCGCAAGAAACTGAACTCGGACGAAAGCGAGGAAGAGCTCGAGGAGCCGAAGCCGGAGGTAGATACACAGCAGATTTGAGGCTGAGAGGCTCCATTATAACAGAGGAACAGAGTTGGAAAGGGACCTTAGAGGTCCTCTAGTCTAACCTCCTGCTCAAGCAGGAAACCCTACCCCATTTCAGACAAATGTTTGTCCAATCTCATTATTTATTATTATTGTTGTTTTGTTATTTTTTTATTTTATTTTGTATTTTATTATTGTCATCATCATATGGCGCACATTCAGTCAGATGTTCAGCCTGGATTTGGAATGATTGGCATTCTAAATAATTTTGTTGTTGCATGCTTGGAGTACAAGGAATTTATCTTTACAGAGGATAGGGCAACTTTAGGGGAAATTCAATGGGTGTGTGATGTCTTTTCAATCCCTTATATGAAAGATCAGAATTTTGCTCCTGCTCAAGTTGGAACTTTATTGAAATAGCTGGCTCTTTCCAATATCCTTTTTCCTCATCTCCCCTTAAGCTACTATCACTGAGCATCAAATCCAACTGGCACACCAGCTCCTCCCTGGCTCAAGTCTGCACGGTTTGCTTAGTTGCATAATAAGATTAATGATGATAATAATAATGGATAACCAGAGCACCGCTTGAACATCATAGGCATTGACAAATTCACCATCAGTCAATTACAGATGGCCGCTTCACTCGGACCAGCTTACATCTCTTAACACTATTGGAAGAAATAATCCATCTGTTTGGGGACGCTCTGGCTCAGTGGCTAAGACGCTGAGCTTGTTGATCAGTAGTTCGGCAGTTCGAATCCCTAGCACCGTGTAACGGAGTGTGCTCCCGTTTACTTGTCCCAGCTTCCGCCAACCCAGCAGTTCAAAAGCATGTAAAAATGCAAGTAGAAAAATAGGGACCCCTTTGGTGGGAAGGTAACAGCATTCTGTGTGCCTTCGGCGTTTAGTCATGCCGGCCACATGACCACGGAGACGTCATCAGACAACACTGGTTCTTCGGCTTTGAAATCGAGATGACACCTCCCCTAGAGCTGAGAACGACTAGCACACATCTGTAGGGGACCCTTTACCTTTTTATCCATCTGGTCTGTTCCATGTAAGGGAGAAAGACACTGGAAACATGGAGGCTGATTGGAAAGATGGTTTATTGAGGGACAGAACCACATGCGTTTGAAGTCCTGGGCAGCTGATCACATGGAGTGGAGAGAGAGGGTTATTTATCGTTGTATTCTATTGGTTGTCAGACTCCCGGGGGGCTATGCAGGGGTCATAGGTAACTTTTTAGGTTGTCTGAATAAAGTTTGATTGAAGCCTGGACTCTGAGATGATGTGATGAGGAGGCCTGTGTCCTGAAAGGGTGTTGGGCCATTCCTATTGTGTCTTAATGGCTTTCCTGGTTTGGAGTGTGGACTGATCGTACCATTCTACCCAATTCTGCCTCTGTTCAAAATATCCTGTCTTGAATGGATTACCAAATCTACATTTCTAAAAGCTGGTTTCCGCTTAGTATCTGCTTGGGGCAGGGAACCGTGGCTCTGAGTTGCTGTTTCCTTTAAGTTTTGTTTCTCTTTTGGGGGAAATATAATATTCTGCCTTTTTAAATATTTCTCAAAATATTTCATTCTTCTAGGAGTGGGGTGAGTGCTAACTTTCTACAACACCATAAAACGTCACCTGCCTATCCCAGATCCTTGGGAAGGACTCTGTAAGTGGGTAAAAATGACAAATCTATTTCATCCTCATAGTTGCATCTTTTGCCAGAAGAATGAATATTTTATCATCCGAGATATAAATGCTTAGTATTAAGAAGTCTCATTCACCTTTTTTTCTTTCTTTCAGTACTTTGACAGCGATGATATGTTTGCCGACTATGACAGCTTTTCTGCCAACAACTCTTTCTTAACTGAAATGGATGGTTTAGAGCAAAAGCACATGCACTTTAGTAAGGATACTCTGGATTCTGACAGTTTAGATTGCAACCTTGCTGCGCGGCCTGTAGGTGGAGGTACTCAGATGACAAATGCCAGGAACCTGGCACAGGTATTTTCGGAGACAAACTCTGCGATTAGCTCCAGAGGCATACGAGAATATGATTCTTGGGAAAGGATGAAGGTGCAGGACAATAGCTCAGAGCCTCAGGATCCTGATTTAGATAGCCTTCCGTCCTCCCAGCTTTTATTTCGTCAGCGTTCAGAGGAATGTTCTCAGAAAGAAGCGGTCATAAAAGAAATACCCTGTCAGCTGGACTTCTCACATCTGCCGTACCGCAGTGATTCAGAGAATAATAAACAAGATTGTAAGTCGGTGAGAACTGCTTTGTTTGGCCCAGGTAGGCGAAAGAGTCTCAAAGACTATCTCAAAAGTGCCATGGCTGGGAATGCCAGATCCTCTGCTTCGTTGGTTTCTAAAAGCAAACAGCTGAAAGAAGCTATTGTAACTGAAGGAATGGCCGTTGCAGAGACAACTGGCAGCTTGGCTTTTGTAGACATTGGTCCTTTCTACGGTTTACCCACGAAAGTCAAGGAGCTACTGCTACAAATCAGAGGAATTGAGAAGCTTTATGGTAATATCACCAATCTCTGCTGTGATCTTTGCTACTGTGATGAATTCCAGTTCAGGGCAATTTTTGCTTGTTTTATTTCTGAAACCAAATTATTTTACACATAGTCCTTGACTTACAACCACAACTATGATTACAGTTACACAGGTTTGTCATTGCAGTGTCAGTTACATTTAAACATAATACTGATATTAATTTCATCATCATCTTTTAACGACCCCATAATCCCTTGCAGGGTGGAATCTGGGCAACTGAATGGAACTAGCAGAGTGTTGACTGGCCGGATGACCTTCCTGTCACCAATGCGGAGTTTTGTTCAGCAGATATATTCTCATTGCGCCCAGAGAGAGAAATATCTGTCTCGACCTAGGATCAAACTCGCAGCCTCCTGATTGTAAGGCGAAAGCTCCACCTCTAGGCCACTGCACCACTTCCACATTAATTCCATAATACTGACATTAATTTCATATATGTACTACAGTAATGCTTCAGTAGTTCTTTTTAAATGTTTCCCAGGTACTTATAAAATAATACCATTTATAAGTGAGGTTTTGTCAAAGGTCCTGAAGTTTGCCAAGTTTTCTTAGAATCCCCAAACAGATTAATTTTCATCATGAATCACTGTGAATGCTAACCCAGAAAGGGAAGACTATAAGAAATGTCTTTTTAATTTTACAGACTGGCAGCATGATTGTTTAACGTTTGAATCCCTGCAAAAGCGAAAGAACTTAATATATTCCTTGCCAACCAGTGGTGGAAAAACCCTTGTCGCTGAAATTTTAATTCTTCGAGAATTACTCTGCAAACAAATGGATGTTTTAATGATCCTGCCTTACGTGGCTTTAGTCCAGGAGAAGGTGCGAAAACCAGCTTTGATATTCATCTACCTCATGGCATTTGATTAACTCCCATCCACAGGGCTCCAGTTGTGGTAGGATAAAATGCTCGGTTTGCACAGCTGAGATTTCAATTTGGTAGTACGGGTAGTCCTCGACTTAGAGCTATTCATCTAGTGACCATTAGAAGTCACAACGACACTGTACAAATGGACTTACGGCCATTTTCCACACTTACGACTATTGCAGTATCCCCATGATCACATGATCAAAATTCAATTGCTTGGCAACTAACTCATATTTATGATGGTTGCAGTGTCCTGGGGGCCATGATCCCCTTTTGCGACTTTCAAAGTCAGTGGGGAAGCCATATTCACTTGACAATCATACTTAACAACTGCAGTGATTTCACATAACAGCTTTGGCAAGAAAGGTCGTGAAATGTGACAAAATTCACTTGCTTAACTGCCTTGCTTAGCGATGGAAATTTTGGGCTCCATTGTGGTCGTAAGTTGAGGACTACCTGCATTGGAGGTCAGGAGGCTGACGACCGAGGAAATGCCTACATTTCATGTACTTGTATCATGAAATTGTATCATTGTAAAGTTAGCCTCGGTGGCGCAGTGGTGAGAGTGCAGTACTGCAGGCTACTTCGCTTATTCCCAGCTGCCTGCAATTTGGCAGCTCGAATCCCACCAGGTTCAAGGTTGACTCAGCCTTCCATCCTTCTCAGGTGGGTAAAATGAGGCAATGTGCTGACATTGCAAACTGCTGAGGTGTAGTGGTTAGAGTGCAGTACTGCAGGCTACTTCTGCTGATTGCCGGCTGCCTGCAATTTGGCAGCTTGAATCTCATCAGGCTCAAGGTTGAGTCAGCCTTCCTTCCAAGGTGGGTAAAATGAGGATCCCTGATTGCTGGGGGCAAGAGGCTGACTCTGTAAACCACTTAAGAGAGGGCTGAAAAGCACTGTGAAACGGTATATAAGTGCTATTGCTATTATTTTCTTCATATTCTAGGTTGGGAGTTTGTGTGGTTTTGGAATGGAACTCGGTTTCTTGGTAGAAGAATATGCAGGAAGTAAAGGAAGGATTCCTCCAATCAAAAGAAGGCAAAAGAAATCCGTGTACATTGCTACTATTGAAAAGGGACACAGCCTGGTGAATGCCTTGATAGAAGCAGGAAGAATTGACAGCCTGGGTCTAGTTGTAGTTGACGAGGTTTGCTACCTAAATAATGATAAAAACATTCTATTTCCAACTTCTTTGTACTCAGTAAATTACCTTGCAGCTTTGTGATTTTTTTTTAATATCTTTTTCTCATTTAAAGTTGCATATGCTTGGAGAAGGTGGTCGTGGCGGGATACTAGAAATGACCCTTTCTAAGGTTTTATATGCAAGCAGTAAGTTAACTCTATAATATCTGGAAAGTCGTCTTGTGAATTTCCTTTACTGTGTACTTATAGGTTAGTTATGACTATTTCAAAAAACTACAAAAGAGACGCTGTTTGTTTACTTATTTATTTATTGAATTTATATTGCCGCCTATTCTCCCGTGGCGACTCGAGGCAGCTTACAGAATGTAAATCCACGTTTAAAGTAAAAAACAATAAAAATTAACAAAAAGAATCAAATTAATAAAGTACAATAGAACAAAATCTGGAAAAAAATAAATAAAAAAAATCACCCCCAACTCTCACCCCCTGCCCCGACGACAGCAGATCACACAAGCCATTTGATGGGCTCCATCCCGTTCTGGGTTCCCCAAATACCATGTTTTCCCAAAAATAAGACCCAGTCTTATTTTCTTTTGGGCTCTGAAATAAGCACTTGGGCTTATTTTTGGGAGATGTCTTATTTTTTTTATCCCCATGTATGGGAAGCCCACTTCTTGCTCATGGCAGGGCAGGAGGCCACGCGGTGTGTCAGTGCTGCTGCCATGAGCAAGGGATGGACCTGCCCCACGTGCCCTGCACCAACTTACCTCAGGGCCCCCACAGCCATGCCACCCATGCCCTGACGACTGTCTCGCCTTGCAGCAGCAGTAGTTCTGGCAGCCCTGTCCAGCAGAACACGGCTTGGCCACCAGCCCACTTCTGCTTGCTCGTGGCCGCAACGGAGCAGGAGGCCAAACGACACGTCAGTGCCATTGTTGGAACATGAATGGCCTGGTGGTGGGGGCCCTGAGGTAAGCCGTTATGGGGTGCATGGGGCAGTTCCATCCCCCCACCTCATGTAGGCATCACAAGCAACCAGACAGAATGGGCAGGTGGGCGACTGCGCAGGCATTTAAATAGGGCTTATTTGGGGGGGATAGGGCTTATATTAGTTGCATGTGTAAAAACATGCAAGGGCTTATTTTTGGGATAGGTTTTATTTTGGGGAAAATAGGTAACATGAAAGGATTATCTTTAATTTCCTGAAATTATTGTAAAGGGAGAGTGGCAGTTTCAAAATCCTACACAGAGCTACACAATGAAGAAAAAAAATTTTTTCCCCAAATAACTCCAAGGGGTTATCTTAAATATGTTGAAATACTGGTGCCAAATGTGGCGATAAGTTGAGGATTATCTATAAAGTGTTATAAACAGCATTGGTCAGTTTCTGTCTTGCAAACTGTGCATGGCTTATCATTTTTTTCAAGAACAAGGAAATACAATTCTTTAAAAAAAACAGCCTCTTATATATTTATGCATCTTGAAATTGTTTGATTGCCACTTTATGGATGCAGAGAGAAGTTGCATAAAATGTATGGATACTCCTATGACTTTATATTCAGAAGTTAATTCACATTGATTTCAGTAAAACTTACTTATCGTTGACTACTATTTGAAGTTTTCATTGTATGCTTTTAAGAATAAATAATGTTTGTCCTCTCAGAGGCTTTCAGAAATATATTTCATGCTGTTTGTATTGGAACAGCATTCAATATAGTTGAAAAAAATACACTGACCTTGAGGTGATAGTATAATGGTAATATTTTTATGTAAGAAGTTCTAGGCATTCTTTGTTTGCAGTATGGATTCTTGTATATTTTAATTCTTAAGCACACATATTTAGCATTTAAGGTTGATTCTGTTTCATTTTTGCATAGAAACAACTCAGATCATTGGAATGAGTGCAACATTAAGGAATGTTGAAGACTTACAGCAGTTCCTGAAAGCAGAATTCTACACAAGTAATTTCAGACCTGTATGTTACTGAATGAAAAAATGTATTTTCTAAGAAATAATTGTTACATAATAACAGAGGTGAATGAATAGTTCTCAATAGTTCAAAAACATTCATTATGAATTCTGTATAGAGAATTTTATAGAGAATTCTATGTGAATTCTCCATAAAATTCATAAATTGCATAGAGAATTTGGTGTATTCACCTTACAAAAAATAGAGAAATTGATTTGAAAATGTAGGTTTGCTCTGTTTTTAAGTCACTGATGTTTACATTGATTTGTTGAAAGACCAGGAAATATTTTTACTTTCTTGTGCCGACTGTGTAGAAGAAGAAACATAAAGGAGCAAAACTAGCTTAACACATGTCTCATTTAACAGCAGAAATGTTGGGTTCAGTTGTGGTCACAAGTGGAGGACTACCAGTACATTCATGGTCTAACCCAATTATTCTATGTACCTTTCCACAATATAGGTTGAATTGAAAGAATATGTTAAAATACAGGACAGCATCTACGAAACTGATAGCAAAGCAGAAAATGGACTTACGTTTTCACGGCTCCTTGATTTCAAGGTAATTCAGCTAAACGCGGAGGTTTTTCCTTTTCAGTTGGCAGCTTCAGTTTCAAACACAGCTTTTTCAACAACCATTTTCCATGTCATTCGTTATTGCTAAGCACCATAACAGTCTCTAAAATGGAGCTTCCCAAAGTGTGCGGCACACCTTCCTTGAGGAGGTGTAGACAGTGTCCAGGAAGTGAAGAATCTTTTAATGGTACATTGATGCCATAAATTTACTTTCCCCCAAACATTTCAAATGAGTAACATGGTGCTGGAAGAGGCACAATCTTTGGCTTTTTTTTAAAAAAAAAAAATGTCTTCTCTATTAAAATAAAGCTCTATTGTATTGTTTTCATTGTTCATTTGTGTTTTTAGGGGAAGTGTGTGTAAAGATTACACTAAAGCAGTGATTTCCAAGCTTAGCCATTTTAAGATGTATGGACTTCAACTCCCAGAATACATTGCTGGCTGGAATCTTGTGGGAATTGAAGTCCAGACATCTTTAAATGGCTAAGATTGGGAAATGCTGCATTAAAGGAAAATATGACGGTAAAAAGTTTAGGAACCCCTACTCTAAAATATCATAAATAAATAATACATACAGGTAGTCCTTGACTTACAACAGCTCATTTAGTAACTGTTGGAAGTTACAACAGCACTTTAAAAAGTTACCTAAGTCCAATTTTCACACTTATGACCATTGCAGCATCCCCAAGGTCATATGATTTACAGTCGGATGCTTGACAGTTGACTCACATTTATGACGGTTGCAGTATCCCGGAGTCACGTGATCTTTTGCGACCTTCTGACAAGCAAAGTCAATGGGGAAACCAGATCCATTTAACAGCCCTGTTACTCATTTAAGAATTGCAGTGATTCACTTAACAAATACGGCGGGGAAAGTCGTAAAATGGGGCAAAGCTCATTTAACAAATTTCTCATTTAGCAACGTAAATGTTGGGCTCCATTGTGGCTGTAAGTTGAGGACTACTTCATTTTCAAAGTATTTCCTAACTTTTTGTACGTCATTTAAGTGTGATCCTTTGCTGGTCTTGATTCTACTGCCTTAAGTGGGAGATGTAAAACACTGAAGAATTAAATGCTTATCTTGTATTTCTTTTTAGAAATTATTTGGGAGATGAAGCACATCGAAAGCAAGTATTAAAAACTCAGTTATGAAGTAGGGATAGTTTTGTAATTTGCCTCCTTTGTATCCAATTAGAGGTATTGAAGCTTAGAATGAAGACTTTGACAAATTGAGATTACAACAATTTGCTTCCATTTAGAAATAACTCTGCTTAATATTTTAGTATTCTAGTGAACTGCAGAAGGTAGATCCTGATCATCTTATTGCATTGGTCACAGAGGTTATTCCCAAGCACTCCTGCCTTGTCTTCTGTCCTACTAAAAAGAACTGTGAAAATGTAGCAGGCATGATATGCAAACACATAAAAGGGTAGGTCTCCTACGTGCACTTTAATTGCTAAATCACTGTTTCTCAACCCTGGCCAGTTTGACTTATGTGGGCTTCAGATCCCAGAATTCCTCAAGTCAGCCATGCCGGCTGAGGAATCCTGGAAGTTGAAGTCCACAGAGCTTAAGGCAGCCAAGGTTGGGAAACGTTACGCTAAATAAACATTTTCACGGATCTCCTGGTGTCAGTGTTAATTTGATGCAGAAATGTTGCATTTGCATGCTAAGCAGTGGTGGGGTTCAAAAAAAAAATTACCACTGGTTCTGTAGGCGGGGCTTGGTGGGCACGCTTTAGAGAGTTTGCTACTGAGCTTCTCCTGCAATCCTGCACTCTCCCTGTGTCCTCTCTCTCCTCTTTGTGCGGTACAGCTGACGCGCAGCAATCCGCTGTACCACACAAAGCAGCTGAGCTTGAAAACCAGGAAATAAAGGTCAGAAAAGAGCTGGGGCAGGCCGGTGGGCCAGCCCAGCAGCTGATCGTCGGAGTGAACCAGTTCACTCACAGATAATCCTTGGAGCTACCAGTTCGACCAAACCAGTGGAATACCACTCCTGATCCTAAACAAATGTAAAGCATTGCAGGGTATGTTTGTCTTAGTATGTCAAAGAGTTGCAGCAAGGGCATATAGCAGGGGAGGTCTACTATCACATTGGTCGCTAAGCGAACAGTCAGAAGTCAAAGACTACCTGGACATTTGAACTTTTGGTGCGTGTTGTAATTGATCGTTCCTTGTTCATCCTAGATGAAAAGAATAGTTATGTTTTCCACAAAATCCCAAGGAAGGGTATACCCATTGTCTAATGCTACCTTTTTTTTCCCTAGAGACTTTAAAAAGGTCAAGGAGAAAGAAAAACACAACCTTCTAAGAGAGTTAAGAAACATCTGCAGTGGAAAACTTTGCCCGGTTTTGAAACAGACTGTTCCGTTTGGAATTGCTTACCACCACAGCGGTCTCACCAGCGATGAGCGGAAATGTATAGAAGCAGCTTATTCCTCAGGCCTCCTCTGTCTGCTAACCTGCACATCTACGCTTGCTGCAGGAGTGAACCTGCCTGCTCGAAGGTTGTAGTACTGGCTTCTCTTTTTAATGTTCATCGTGTGAAATGTGGTAAAAATTCATTCACTGAATCCACCAAAATTGGGCATGACCCAAGAGCTAAGCGATGCTCCTTAAGTATCCGTTGGCTCTCTCAAGCAGCAGCTACGGAAATTCTAATGATTTGGTATTTCTTTTTTCTTTTAAAAGAAGAACTATCCATACTTATTAAAAACTAGGGTTTAGAACCAAATCTTTCCCTAAATGCTATTTTTCTCTTTCCAGAGAATTATTTACAAACAGACATTCAGTCATGCGAATCCCACCCAAAGTCTGAAAGAATATAGTCTAGAAGAGGAGTGTTGAACACAAGTATTTTCAAGCACTTTTGCTTAATGAGGAAAGAAAAAAAATGGATATAAGTGAAATAATTAAAGTACATGTTCATGGATTCCACAGGGTAATTTTAAGAGCGCCCTATGTTGCTACGGACTTCTTGAAGAAGAACCAGTATAAACAGATGATTGGTCGAGCTGGCCGAGCTGGCATTGACAAGGCTGGTGAAAGTATTCTGATTGTGCAAGAGAAAGACAAAAAACTGGTAACTTAAGTGAAAAGGATGGCCAATTTGAGATTTCTAAGTCATCGGGATTAATTGATTAAATAGTAGTGGGAGGAGTGATAATAAGGCCTTAGTCTGAACTAATTCATTTCTTCTTTTACTACGTACATTTAAAGATAGCTTCACTTTAGAAGGACAAATAAATTCCTCATAATTGTGTCACTGCCAAGTAATATCATAACCTAAGTTTACAAGTGTTTGCTTCTTTGCTTTAGTAGAAAGTGTGCCCTCTTTTCGTCAATTTAGGACAGGATCGTGGCATTCAAGGACAATTGTATTTATTCATTAATTAAAACAATTAAGCTATCCCACATCACAAAAACTTAAAAACAAGTATTTTTCTTATACCCCCACATCTTCTTGAATAGATTGGTATTACAATGCAGTCACTATAGAGCAACTGTGAATGCATAGTTGTATATTTTGAGGAAAAAATACTGCAAAAACATAAGGCTACCTCTGAGAAGATAACATTCCCAATGATAAATGATTTGAATTGGTGAGACAATACAGAGCAAGGCTTTAATTGCAAGAAATGATAGAATTAAAATAATGCTCAGGATATAATGGAGCAGGCATTTCATAAGACACATGTCAGAATCATAACTTTTTTTTCACAGTTATTAATACATGCTATACCTTTGTTTTAAGGTTCAAAATTTAATAACCAGTCCCCTAGAAAGCTGTTACAGCACTCTTCTTGAATCCAACAAGGGCATCCGAAGTTTACTCTTATCGGTGGTTGGCTTAAAGGTTAGTAATTCTAAAATGTTACGTTTCAGCTACAATACTTTAATGATACATCAAAGAGCAGTATGAAAGAAGGAACTTAGATGTAATCGTAATAGCACATTTAAATACCACTTTACAGCCCTCTCTAAGAGGTTTACAGAGTCAGCCCATTGCCCCCAACAATCTGGGTCCTCATTTTACCGACCTCAGAAGGATGGAAGGCTGAGTCAACCTCGAGCCATTCAGGATCAAACTCCAGATTGTGGGCAGTTTGCTTGCAATACTGCATTTTAACCACTATGCCATCAAGGCTCCTTTTACTCTCTTAAGTAAAACAACTAATGATAACATTCTCTTCTGTCATGGCTGTAATTGTTTTTCTCTCAAACTAAGCCTTTAGTCTCAGTTTAATATTTGACCCTCGATATTCTATTACAGATAGCAAACAATCCTGAGGAAATTTACCAGTTCATGAGTGCCACCTTGCTTAGTATACAGCCCCAGCTCCTGCCCAACAAGAGCCTGCGGGATGTAACAATGGAAGCGTTACAATGGCTGAAACACAATAGGCTGCTAAAAGAGAAAGAAAATGCAGACGGTGAAAAGAACTGTCAGAATAATCTCGGGATCACTCAGTTGGGCCGAGCTACCTTCAAAGGTAAAAGATGTTTGGGTTATTGATTAAAATGAAGTTAAGCGGAAGCGGCCTTACCAATTAAGCAGGACGAAGTGGTTACCTGTAGAAGTATCCACAGGAAGGTCACGGGGGTTGAGGGAGGAAATGATGAAAGCAACAGGACAGTGCAAGCTCCACCCCTTTGGTGCATGCATAAGAAAGGGTGGAATGTACAGCTTTCGTTGTTTTAGGGTCGGATCCTGTGGATGCCTCTACTCACCTCAGGATGCAGATTGCATGTAATCTTTAATTTTAATCCTATCTTAGGTTCGGTTGAATTGGCACACTGTGACACCCTCTACGCAGACTTGAAGAAAGGACTTGAGGGACTAATACTTGAAAGCTACCTTCATTTGATCTACCTGATAACACCCTATGATATGATTCCCCAGTGCAGCCCAAATTGGATGGTCTATTTTAAACAGGTAAGATGCTCCCCAAAAAAGCATCCTTGGGTATCTCCTCCCTAAGCTTAGAATAATAAGAGAGGAGTACTCTTAACAACACCAGGATAATTAAAACCCTGTCTTCCGTGGTACTAAATTTCATTGGGAAGGTATTTTTGCTTGCTTTTTTTTTTGTAGCTTCTCTGTCTGCACAAAAATTGTGTTTTTGGTCTCCTTGGCACTCCCATTACAGTATAAATGAAATTGATTGATTTGTACATATGCTACTGACAAAAGGCTAAATAAAAAAGTTAAAATCATGCAGATACAGGATTTAGATCTTTTGAAAGTTCGTTTGCCGTTGGGAGATATTTTTTTTGTCTTATAAGTTAAAAATTAAGCGCTTTTATGCAGAGATCCAGATTTTACCAAATACATTGTAAGTGCTTTTATTTGCGGGGAAAACATATGTGAAGTACTAACTATATTTAACATGTGTTCATTTATTTAATACATGTGTATATATACCAGTCCCGTACAATCATATTTAAAAGCAGTGTGCAAGTTAAAACAACTGAGATACAGTGATTAAATGACACAATACTGCCATGAAACCTAACTTCATTGAAACAATCAGGGTAACATAAAAGAGTAAAAACTCAGATCATTTATTAAATGGTAGCATAAAATCGCCCAGGGGGGAGATCTAGGTCTTTGTTATGCACCTGAGGAAGTGGGATAGACAACTCAAGAAGGCTTACCTACAGTATTGGCACTTTTACAAGGGGCCATTTTCAGTAGCTTCCCCTATTGTGTGTGGAAATCCCTCTTAGCAGAAATGCAGTCTGTTTCACCCCTCTTGAGCTTCAGGAAAATGATACAAGATTATTATTTTTTGCTCCATCTTGCTTAGGAGGTGGGTGTATTACAGCTGAAGGTGACGTTTGCTGGTACAGGTTTCATAAGTTCTATAATACATTTCTGGGTAGTATGTAATGTTGACATTGTTAGCCACCTATATCCTTCCCACCAGGATGCCCATATCTTTGCATTCACCCCTACTTGAAGCTGAATAAATACTGCAGCTCAAGTTTTAGCATTTGTCATGTAGAATAGGATAGATTGTTACTATCTGCTTAACTTTAGCTGATTATAATTTGTTTGTTTTAGTTCAATCAACTCAGTCCAATAGAACAACAAGTAACCAGCGCTGTTGGAGTGCCAGAGAGCTTTATTACCAAAAAGGCATCTGGACAAGCCATCAAGAATGTAAGAGCAAGATTTGTTTATTAAACATTCTTATCTGAATGACCGCCGGAAAAATACACACGTGATTTATTTATTTCAATGATTATAAGTTTCTCTTCTTTCTCTTCCCCACTTTCTCTTGCCATTTAAGCTCCTTGTTAAAGTAGCAACAGCTAAATAAGAGGATTTTGAAAATATTGCAAGAATTACTGAAATACTGAAGAATCCCATGTTGAAATCTCCATGCCGATGTATCATAAAACACATTGAGTGACACCCATTGGGGATTGTCATTATTGCTCTAGCTACAGTTGGTAGTCTGTGGGAAAGAGAAAAAGCTGTTACGTTGTCTTTACTTCTTTGCCACTGTGGCGCAGTGATTAGAATGCAGTATTGCAGCTAATTCTGCTGACTACAGGCTGCCAGCAGTTTGGCAGTTCAATCCTGACCAGTATGCATCATCTAATGATCAAAATTTGGATGCATGATATAAGAATCGTACAAATACAAAAGAATTATATTAATTGTATATATTGGATAAATCAGCAGGAAAATGTTTTTAACGGTAATCTCAGAATCAGCAGAAAAATTCTACAGTTATATTTCCATTATTTATATTGCAAATTCTAATTTGGCAATGAGTGTAACTATGTGCCTTAGATACATGCTTCATTGTTACTAAGTTGTGAAATATACTGTCATTATTTAAGGAACTTAAAGAAATAGAAGCTTGCAAAAGACTTTTTTATGTTGTTTTCAGTTTCTTTATGAACTTGCTATTTTCTTAGGAACTGGATAGTAATACTGTTAATAGACTTTACCTGTCCCTCATCCTTCATACCTTGTTAAGAGAGACCAACATATGGGACGTGTCAGAAAAATTTAATATACCGCGAGGATTTGTTCAATCTCTTCTCAATTCAGCGGCTTCATTCTCCTCTTCAGTTTTGCATTTTTGTGAGGTAACGTACAACTGCTAAATAATTCACTGCAAGGCAAAAACATCATTCATTGCTTTACTTTGGGGGAAAAAGTTATTATTTCTTTAGTAATCGTCTCATATAATTTCCGTTCTTAAATTTAGAAGCAATTATCAGTGTATTACTTGGCTCCCCTGCTGAACAGTTTTCAAATTGAAAATAACAGCTCATAGACATCTTATAATTTTGTATATCTCATTTTGAAACTAATCTCTGGTATTTTATTTATATGATTGATTGATTGATTGGAATTTATATGATTGCCCACTCACTCTCAGTAACTCTGGGTAGCTTGCAAAATTAAAATTGCCCCTTAGCAAATATGGTAATGTATTGACATTCTCCAAGAGCTGGTTTTTCTTTTGTTATCCCAACATGAAAGATGTTACGTTATCACATTGTAACATCCAAATATATAGGGCCTGATTTAATCCTTTTGGAAATCTTTAGATTCAACTAATGGATCCCAGTAAGAGAAGAAACTGAGCAGGGTTTGATTGATAACTTTCTAAATAAAATTGACCAACAGAAATTTGGCTAATGTGTTTTCTTACAGGAGCTGGATGAGTTTTGGGTTTATAAAGCTCTCCTGCCAGAACTTACCAAGAGACTAAACTATTGTGTTAAAGCAGAACTTATTCCTCTTATGGAGGTGGCAGGAGTTTTGGAGGTTAGTAAAGTCTAGTTTGACGGTTTATACATGAATTCTTTTTACAAATAGGTTAACTGAGGGTTTTCAGAAAGCCAAGCAGAATGTAAGGATAACTTCTAAAATTTCTTCCAGTTGATCACCACAGAGAGTTTTTCACACTTATGACCATTGCAGCATTCCCATGGTCACATGATCATAATTCAGATCCTTGGTATTTATTTATCGTATTTATGATGGTTGCAATGTCCCAGGATCATTGCAACCTCCTGACAAGTCAGTGGGGAAGACAGATTCATTTAACAATAGTTATTAACTTAACAACTGCAGTGATTCACTTAAAAACTGTGGCAAGAAAAGTTATAAAATGAAGCAAGGCTCACTTAAGGAATGTCTCACTTAGCAATAGAAAATTTGGGCTCAATTGTGGACATAAGTCGAGGACCACCTGTACTTCCTAGTTGCAGAGAGGAATGGCACATATGACAGATGTCTTCAATGTAAATCTCACGCCTGAATTCAGAAGTACTTTCTTTGGGTGATTTTCCTTCAACTTTTGCCTGATTAGCTACTGGAGATCAAGTTCTGCTTTGCAGATCTGGGTGAAGATTGATACTAGCAGCTATTTGTTTTTCAGCAGATTGACACATTGTGGGTGTGTTGTGGTTGGGGAATTCTGGGAATTGAAGTCTCCAAGTCTTAAAGCTGCCAAGCTTGGACATTCCTGATGTGTAATGTCTTGATCCATTGTTTAGCTCTCTCCTTTAATTAGCTTCTCCACTGCTTCACAGGCTCGAGCCAAGCAACTCTACAACTTAGGCTATAAAACTTTAGCTCACTTGGCCAATGCAGATCCAGAACTTCTAGTCAAGAGTGTTGTACATATGTCCAGAACTCAGGCCAGGAAAATAGTTTCATCTGCAAAGGTAAGTAAAGCAGTAGCAAGACACTCTGGAACAACTTCTGTTTTAAGTAGGAAGAGGTTTATATAGTCCTCGGTAGAAATCAGGATGAAAATAATCTCCATCTTTGGCAAGTAGCCATTTTGTCACTGTTTACATAGCTAATCTAAGTCTTATGGGTGAGGGCAGTTGGGATGAATTCCAGTGCTGCTGTTGAGAAATATATATTGATACCTGTGATGAATTGTGGGGGTTGCTTAAAAAACCAGAATCATTCATTATGAGGATCAGTAGTTTGAATCTTAGATGATGTTAGGATCTGAGTGCACTGGCACTGATTGTGGATGAGGTATAAATACGTGGCAGATTTTGCCTTTGTTGCAAATAAAGCAGGTGCCTTGGTGTGTTTTAAACCTAAATGCTTCGATTGATCTGGGAGAAAATAAAATTGGAGGCCTCAGAAGCATTAAGATTCAGTCTAGTCTCTGCTCCAGAGAGCCTCCTAAGAAATGAATGCTGTCCCAAAAGTGCTTTTTTTTTTTCCAAGAGGCAACTGGACTTTCTGTTTTTTTCTTTGAAGACGTTTTGCTTCTCATCCAAGAAGCTTCTTCAGCTATGACTAGATCAGGGGTCAGCAACCTGTGGCTCTGGAGCCGCATGTGGCTCTTTCATCCCTCTGCTGCAGCTCCCTGTTGCCAGTCGGCTCCACAATTGACAGGGCTTTTTGGTTAGGACAGGTAGAGGAAAAAGGATGCTGTGCTAGGAGGAGACTCTATGGTGGGGGAACCGCCATAGAGTCTGGTCGGCTCCAGAATTGAATGTGTGTGGGGGTTTCCGGTTAAGACCTTTGTGGCTCTTTGAGTGTTTAAGGTTGCCAACCCCTGGACTAGATGGTGGGGAATGGAAGATTTATACAAAGAATGCAAATGACCAGTTGTCTGCAAGGAGTATAAATCTTCCCCACCATCCAGTCAGAGCTGAAGAAGCTCCTTGGATGAGAAGTGAAACGTCTTCAAAGAAAAACCAGAAAGTCCAGTTGCCTCTTGAAAAAAGCACCATTGGAACAACCATGACTTGGATGACTGGGAATTTCCCTCAGACAAATGAATGCTATATAAGTTATTGAGATGACCCGGGGCTTGGCAGAAAAGCAACAAAGTCACAAAAGTAGGTAAAGTCCCTTTAATTCCTCCAACTTGGTCCCCGATGTCCAATTATTATCGGCTGGAGAAAAAACTCTCCTAAGAACAGTCTTTAAAGGGAAGAAATTCAGTCCGAACCCAAAGTACATATAAATTATAAATAAAAACCAACACAAACCACAGCTGCAGCAATTAACGAGACAGGGCAGGATAAGGAATTGCAGACTTCAAAAGATAACGAAACACACACTGTTGGGAGGACGTCATAACCCAGACAAGACTTGACAAACAAAGATAATGCATGTTTTGCTTCCAGCAAGGTGCTGTGCGCAAATGCCCTTTTTAAATCCTGTTTTCCCAGCTGCAGCTAATGAAGGGAATCAGGGCCCTTTTCTCGCCCGTAACTCACATTGCTCCCTTCTCCATTCCTCCCTGCGTGCCCTAGGATGAAGAGGAGGTAACCCCGGGTCTTCCTCTGAAGGCCCAGCCAGACTGTGCCCTTCCCCAGTTTCTTCCACAGCCACCGGAGCCACACTCCCACTCCCTGTCAGTTGCTAGAACTCCCCCTCGGAATCAGATTCCAACAGGGGCATGACAGTTACCTTGGGAGCTATGGGGTCTCAGATACACAGTAAATACACTACAATAAAAAGTTGTGTGACCTTTTTTGCCTTTGAATGCAGATGCTCCTGGCTGAGAAGACTGAGGCTTTACAAGAAGAAGTTGAAGAATTATTGCGAATACCTACGGATGTTCCATGAGGCTTTTTATGTTTCTGTAAATCCAAGAATCAATAGATTATCTCCTGCCTTGATCACTGCTTGTACTTATTGTATATATTAATGAAATAAAGGTTACACGTCAGAAAATGTTTTGCTAAAAATCATCAGCATGTTTTGTTTTGTACATAATGAAATTACATTTTTTGCAATCCGCATTGTATTTTATCTTTCACAGATATTGCCATTAATGACATAATTTTGCATTTCATTTCAGTGTCACTATTTTTTATTAAATTTCTTCATGACTCTTAACAAGATCATCTTGGAAAATTAAGTTTATTTTATTTGAAATCTATTTTAGAGATTATGGGGAGAATTATAATGGTATAATTGACATGGCTTGTCTATATTTGCTAAATTATATATGAAATGTGTTTTCAAATTGTCTCTCTGGGTAAATAACTCCCTGGTTATGTTCACACCATATATTAGTGCCACAAATTAGCCAACCATATTTTACTGTAGAGTACCATGCCAAATCATGTCTAATGGTTAATTCATGATTTGGTATACTGTGCCAATTAATTGGTTTGGAATATTTTTTTTAACTGTGGTTGTTAAAAAAAATAACCCAACCCAAAGAAGACAGAAAAATACATAACCAAAATGTAGAGTTATTAAAAGGTAGCCATTTACACGCATAGGCAAAACCAAATACCCACGGAGGCTCTAAACAACACATACACTATCATTATTAATCACAGTGGCTCATGAAAAGGCACCCACACAGTGGCTAGATATGATGGTCTGGTTCACATACAAAGATATTTGACTTCGTTTTCTTAGGGAATATACATTTGTACAAAATATATTTTTAAAAAAGATTGAAATGAAAGCACAGGAAGATTGCTGACTAAAAAGAAAGCCAAAGCTAATAATGAAAGTAGGTTTGAGTGGAGCAATCTCTGAAGCATTTAAGGAGACAGTTGTAAATGTTGGCAAGGCTGTGTAATAGCTGGATGACGCTCAGGGAGATGTGGAAGGAAACAACTGGGATATAAGCTTTATAATATGATAGATGCAAATGGTAATAGGTAATACCTATTCTTATCTTGCCTGTGCTTGGGCCATTCAAAATGGACAGGTGCACTTATACATGGACAGATACTCTCATGCTTCTCCCTAGCCCCAAATTCTGAAAATCATGTCTCTTTCCATGATTCTCTTGTATTAGTCCAGCCCAAACTTTCCTTTTCCTGAAGCATCTATCTTATAAATCTGTTTTAAACTGTAGTCTTGGTGTCATTCTAAAATATTGGGCTTTCCTGCTTCTATCTCGCTTCCCGCTATTTGCAACCTCATCCTTCCTCAAGACTTTCAGAGAAAACCCAATGTTTATTTCAAGTATATTGTGTATGGCAGTTACTGAGAAATGCATTAAATGTTCTTGCAAATTCTGAAACTTGTGCCTGAGTTCTGTGCCTGGGTGGCTGTGATATTTTCATGCGTAGTCATTGTAAAAGCAAGATTCCCTACTGGAAAAAAAATAAAAGTTGTATTTAAAGGCCATTAGATTTCACAGCCACCTCAATTCTGGTTTGGGTGGACACTAGGATTACACACTTCTGCAATTAGCCAATACTTGAAAAACCTGTTGTACATAGTTTGTGACTTGGTTCTTCTCTAGTGTAGATGGTGTCACAGTTCTGCCACACTGAGGACTGAGTAAAATCAGAGAAGCTTCCTCCAGCAACATTTACACAACCGTCGTCGCTTTATCAAACCATTTTCTCCCTTTGCACAACCCAGCGTTGCATATCACAGTTTAGCCAAATGCAAATCTTTAAATAAAACAGGTATGCATTTGTCCTAAAATACAAAAACCAAAAAATTTGTGCTGAGTAGCACAAATTGGGCACCAATACAATGGCTGGGTTCATCCATCCTTCAAAGGAACTGCTTAACAGTGGTTATTTGAACCAAAGTTACAATACAATGTAACTTTGTTGATTACTGTTCAACAAAGATGTTTGTACCCAGGCAACACACTGTTCAACTGAAGATGGAATTACATTAAAAATTTTAAAAAAACCTTAATTAAAAACTGGTTAGTTGAACAAACCACAATGACTTTCATGGCATGCTAAGCCAAAATATAATAAAACACATGACTCAGCCAGTTTTTTCCAACTTGACAACTTCCAGATAACGTAAAGCAACTCAGAATTCTTATCAGTAGCCATGCAATCTAAAGAATTGTTGGAGCTGTTAGTCCACAGATCTGGAAATGGTTGGCAAACAGGTGTGTTAACAATATCTGAAGCCAGTAAGGAATACATTTGTTTTCTCCCCCAAGCCGCTTCGTAAATTGAAAGTTGAAGGGGGCTCCAATTGTATCACGCTGCTTAAAAATTAGGTAGAATGTCTGATTAAGATGCGTCAAGCTGTCATCCCTTGTTCCCTAAATGTGTTGGAAGTGCATCTCCCACAATCTCCAGCTAAAAGAGTCAAATCCTGGGAACTCTGTAAGGTGCACTCCCAATATATTTGAAAGATGTCAAATTGAGGGAAGGGTGTGCTTTAATCAGAGACCACTGGATTCTCCCCATAAGATTGTACAGAGAAGATCAGGCAATTCACATTGTATGCTCACCCTTAGTTCAGGCATCTTCAAATCTTTTGGACAACTGTACTTGTTTATAACACACTAGCTCTATACCTGTGCTTTGCTACGGAATTATGTGGTCAGGCTTAGTTTTTGGGGAGGAAAATAAGGAAAACAAAATTATGCCTTTGCCTACTAGCATCTATCGGTATTCATCTGGCTAGCGTCCTGTCAGTGTGTGAGAGAGTTGAGGGCTGTTTGGAAACTGAAAGAGTATTTGCTGTGTGAGCAAGAAGGAGACAGCAAGGAGCCTGGGAGTGCCTTAGCTCAACTGTTCTGTACTAAAGTTGCTTGGTGGTGTGAAACTGAAACTGAAACTCCTCTCCTCTGCTTGTGTTTTGCATTTGGAACAGATTTCTTTTCAGGTTGAGTAGAACTCCTTAGCATCAGAGCATGTTGATAATAATATAGGAAATACTAATGCTCTGATGGTCATTTCGAAAAATCCTTTCAGTGAGCATCTAGAAGCCAAGAGGAAAATACGTGCCAAATTTCAAGTTTGTATATATAATATGGTATTCAGCTTTGTTCGGGTATTTTCCCACGTCATTGCAGTTGTGCTTTTAAAGTTGTAGCAACGTTTCGGCAGAATCTCATCTGCCATCATCAGGCTTCTGTATTGTGTTCGTCTGTGAGTCAGACTATCACAGCCATTTCAGTTTTAAATTTGGGGCAGCCTATTGCTGTGCCAGAATGGTTTTTTCTTCATTAGCTGATCCAATTGGAACTAAGGAGTCACGTAAATACAAAATGGCTGTGATTTGCACATGCCCCCAAAACAGGGTGCAAATTTCCTACTTCCAAAATGTGCAAAATTAGCAAAATGCATATATATGTATGTATGTATGTATGTATGTATGGCCTTCGACTTTGTTTGGGTATTTTCCCACGTCATTGTAGTTGTTCTTTTAAAGTTGTAGCAACATTTCAGCAGAATCTCATCTGCCATCATCAGGCTTCTGTATAGTGTTCGTCTGTATATGTATATGTATATATATACATACACACACACATACATTTATGTCATGACCATGTGCCACTAAATGAAAGTCTTCTAGACTGGCAAGGGTTGGATTCAGGCCAGGGCTGCAAAAATATCTCAGCTGTGATCATCTCAAAAGGCTAAAGCAGCATTTTATTTATAAAAGGGAATAGTTGTCATTCAGGGTTGAAATGAACACTGATGATGTTATAGAGCAGTGATGGCAAACAGTGGTGGAATTCAAATATTTTTTCCACCGGTTCTGTGGGCATAGCTTGGTGGGCGTGTAAAATCTCCAGTCAGAGGTGGTAGTTGCCAGTTCCCTGAACTACTCAAGATTTCCACTACCGGTTCTCCAGAACTGGTCAGAACCTGCTGAATGCCACTTCTGATGGCAAACCTTTTTGTTGTGGTGTGCCAAAAGTGTGTGCACACCCACGTGCTGGTACCCACAATGCAATGTGAGCGTCTTTCTCCCAGCTTTGAACTGAACCAGGTGGGTTTTCCTTCCAATGAAATGCGGTAAATCGAGGACTGCCTGTACTCCGTTGGAAGGAGAAAACCATGAGGGAAAGCCGGGGGGAGGGGCACCCAATGAGAGGGAAACTGTCGCAGAAAGAGGCAAGAGCAAACTGCAATCCTGCGCTACCAAAAAAAAAAAGCGCCATCTGTGGCGTCCCTGAAGCCACTTTTGCTTTAGTGAGACTTTTGTTGTTGTTCAATGCTTCTCCCGGGATGGTTTTTGGTGAAACGGTGGCTGGTTTTAACCATGGTTAGTGGCTTGTTTTAATCACAGTTAGTGGCTTGTTTTAACCACTGTTAGTAACATGCTTTAAACACGATTAATAGCTTGTTTTAACCA